TTGTTCTCAATTTAATCTAAATTATCTGAAAATTCCAAAGAAAAATATGCACGAATGTTGTAAAAAATACATGTTTTATAATGGGAAATTTAGCAACTGTCGAATGTTTATACGGCGTTCTTCCTTAGCCCGGTAGAATAGTACTGTGTAATTAATGCGACAAATGGACTGCATTTCGTAGTTAGGAACTACAATTTCTGGCACAGGTTAGAATCAAAATATTTACCATAAGTTTTCCTAAGCACATAAGTGTTTTTTCCGATGAACCAGACATTGTAGTTCCTTATTGCTAATTTAAGTCCAAAAACGTGTAGTTTCATTACCAGATAGGACGGAGAACGTAAGTGGGTTGTTTGTGAGAGAGGGCGAAACGAATCACAGGAGATACAAAGATGGTCATCAACCCTGTCATCTGAACAGAGAGGATGTACACCAGGATAATTGTATTGTGCACAGTAATGTAAGTTCTGGCCACAACCTCCTCCTTGATCTCCGCAGAGCAGTGCAGATGGAAATCCATGCGGCATTTCAGGCATTCAGCAATGTCCGATTTCCTCAACAACAGAACAGCACCTAAGAGAACTAAACTGCCTTAAAAAGTGGAATAAGGATGTATGCTTTTAGATTTCAGATACAGGTCTAAAGTCGTATCTGTATTTCAAGGGAGACAATGCAAATTGGGAGCCTGCAGATCATTGTGCAGCTCTTGCACAGAAACATAGAGACGTAATGGGAGAGCTGGCGTTATGCTCTGCTCGACGAGTTCCGAGCCCGGTGTGCGCCGAGCTTTTGTCACTTTTTCGGCAAATGTTCAATTCAAAATGGCGGTGTAGAATACGTGGTAATTCCTATCTTCTTTGTTTACATCGGACGGCCGGGTACGCTTGTATCGAAAACAATCGATTATGTATCGAAAAAGTGACCCGGCGTCACACAGTAGTCTCGGAATACGAAACCTGGAAAATGCTTAAAAGTGGCGCCAACTTTCCCCTTTACATTGAGTTCGTAGTGGTATTTCACGGGCAACACGGGCCCCCTCCGGGGCCCGGGCCCCGGGACGAGTGGCCCAGTATCCCCCTTTTGGCGGGCTTGCCTTCATGCACGCTGGGCTTGTCGATTTTCTTTGACATTTTTGCAGTGGTGAATGCATAGCTGAAGTGCGCTACAGCTAGAATTGTATTTAGCAAATGGGTAATTTTTATAGAAGGATTATAAATAAACAAGTGGTTAGAAACGAAATCAAAATACAATGAACTATGCAAAACGATTATTCATATATCGGAACTTGGCTGTTTTGAAAACGCCTTCAAATGCGGCGTGATACCTCACGCATTCCGGAGAGTTCAAATAGTTGTATCATTGCGCCTTAGAAATGCGACGGAAGATTTAAATGGAAATAGCCTCCATGCACGCTGGGCGTGTCGATTTCTCTTTGAAATTTTTGCAGTGGTGAATGCATAGCTGAAGTGCGCTTCAGCTAGAATTGTATTTAGCAAATGGGTGGTTTTTCTACGAGGATTAAAAATAAACGAGTAGTACGGAATATAACAAAAGAATATGAACTATGCAAAACGATAATCCGGGTATCAGAACTTGGCTGATTTTAAAACGCCTTCAAATGCGGCGTGATACCTCACGCATTCCGGAGAGTTCAAATAGTTGTATCATTGCGCCGTATGAATGTGACGGAATATTTAAATGGAAACAGCCTTCATGCAGGCTCGCCACATCCCATCTCGAGCCTTGGTACCAGTTTTAAGGTCCTGGCCCCATGCACGGAGGGGGTTGGGTCGGAGGGGCATCCCCCGAGGAATCTCAGAATTTATACGACTAATTGGACGTATTTTGAAGCTTCCATAAATAATTTTTCCATCAATTTCTGCGGAATAATTATTTTTTTTATATATATATCCCTTCAGCACAAAATACTTGCGAATCGTTGCATTCAAAACATCTGGAAAATTTTCATTTTTTTTTGGGGGGGGGCATATGATACTATTTTCAGTTCTATGAGGGCCAGGCCCCCCTTGACTCCCCCTTCGTTTATCTACGGCAAGGGAGTTGAGCCATGAGCCACTGAAGTCGAGGATGTTCAGACTGGAGACTCTTAGCATCTGAGGACGGAAGAAAATGAAACGCAGTTACTAAAAATATCTCTCTGTACTAAAAATCTTGAAAATAGATAGAAATTTTCCAAGAAGTATACTTCTTTGAAAATTTAAGAAGAATTCTACAGTGCCCCAGCGTGTTTCTAAAAATCTATTCACCTTTTGCGAACTTTTTACGGTAAATTTTTCACTTTGTCTTACGAAACAAGGGTTGCATGTGAATTCGTAGTGGTTTTTCACGGGCAACACGGGCCCCCTCCGGGGCCCGGGCCCCGGTACCAGGAACCCACTATCCCCCCCCCTTGTGGCGGGCCTGTGTTAGCCTGTGACTTTCCGTGGTTCTTCTGAAACCGTCTCCCGTGCTAAGGAAGAAAGCCGTATGAACATTCGAGAGTTACCAAATTTCCTTCGATAAAATGTTTGTTTTTGAGGAAAATTTTGAATATTTTTCCTTAAAATTTTCAGAAGTTTTAGATCAAATTACAAACAAAATTATCTGAGGAATCGGTAGACAAATATTCAAAAACTTTCCTGAAAATCAGTGATTTGCCAGGGGAAATTTGGCAACACCTGATGGCCAATACGGCGTTTTTCTTTAGCACCGTAATAGTGCAGTGTCTCTAAAAGATTTTGTCACTGGTCTCATTTTTAACAGGATGACATCAGGCTGATTGCGGTTGCTAACCTCTTACGATAACGCCAAGCGAGAGGACGAAGTACTGGAAGTCGAGGCAAAGCTGTTTCAGGATGATTTGATGAGAGGTGACGTGAAGAACGATTGAAAAGATGCATTGCAAGCAGAGGAGGAATTGGAGCAAGAGAAGCAGGACGTGAGTGTAGAGGATGAACCGACTGACCAGGTCATTTCTCGAGTAAATCCTACTCAAACCGGTGAAGTTCAAATGGCACAAAAGCAGTTTGGAACGCCAGTTGTCCGCCAAATCCCTGTTCATCCCCTAATGTGTGTTCGGAGTGCTGCAGAAAAAAGCTGCATGTGAAAATATTTGGACTACATCCTGCGATTGGAACTACAAATTGTGGCTTAGTTTAGAAATAGCACAAGTGCCATTCGTTTCCCTGTCCACATAAGTTTCTTAGGATGAGCCAGATATTGTAGTTCTTAATTGCAAAATGTAGTTCACAAAACTGAAAATCTTGCCACGACGTAATTATTCGAAAACTTCATTCTCGTGAAATTTTGACTCAACACATTTGCACGTATTTGGACTACATTTTGCAATTAGGAACTACCATTTCTGACTCATTTGTAAAAGCACTCATCTGCATATGGAAACTAATAGATCATACGCTGTTTCTGAACTGTAGCTGTGGCAGAAATTTGAGTCCCGAATCGCAAAATGTAGTCCATTTATGAGGAAAACCTCTCAGCTTCTTCCGTCCAATAATTCAGTACATTTTCCTTTCATATTTATGGAAGCTACATCATGAAAAGTTTGGTAACAATATTGAATTTTAATTATTTCTAAGCTGAAAATAAAGGGCCCTAATTATTTAAACTATATTTGTTTTGTTCCAAAACTTACAAGTTAGTTTATTGCTTTCAACATTATGATTCATCAAATAAAGCCATTAGAACAAAATATGTCAATATGGTTAATATAAGTATGGCAAATACTACACTTTTGAAGTTATATAGATTTATTAACTGGGGATGATACATTGATTTTTTATGGAATTTTCTTTCGATTTATGAAAGAAGAAGAAGATACTTACCAATGAATGACAAAGTGGAATGTACGAGCGTAAAAAAGAGCTCAAAATTTTTAACACCGAGTAAAAAGTACGCATAAAGACGAATCCGCATGGAATTTTGGATTGTCTATCAAGAACAATGAGCTGTTCCCACCTATTTTCCTAGGGGACGAAAAAAACTGTGGAGATACGGGGAATCGAACCCGAGGCCTCTCACATTCAAAGGGAAAACTCTACCACCGAGCTTTATCCCTTCACTGGGATGCGAAGATTTTTCCAGCTTTATTTTGTTGCTAGTTGCTCCACCCAGATGAGCAAATTTATTAGTGGAAAATTTTACAATATACACATAAGAAGAGAGGAGACACAATTTTGTGAAGCTTGTGAGAAACCATGCCTTGATTTAATGAGTATAGCTAATCCTAGGGCGCCCAAATTCTTCAACCTTGCTATAGATTGCAGCATAAACACAAATTAGACTACCCTTGGTGAGATTGATTCATTTTTCCGCAAACCTGTTACGATGTCAAGAAATTAATAATTTGGAGATCCTTGAGCTGAAGAAGGCTATCGACATAGTGACGCAAGTAGTAATTTAAACGATAGGGTACAATCACCGGAGCTAATAGCAATTCGAGGATAGCAACTATTTGCCTTACTACGGGTATTTCGTCGCTCTTCCAACGAAAAGGCGTATCCGAATTTTCACGTGAGCCGTGTTTTACGTATAACTCTATGCTTGCCCGGGCTCACGTGAAAATAGAGGTACGTCCTTACGTCAGAGGAACGACGAGTTATGAAAGTCGCAATTAGTGTTCTTCTTCAAGTGACTTGAAAACGATTGGTGTGCACCTCTCTCTGCTGAGTTTCCCTTATAATCAGAAAGCAGTGTTGATTTATACTTAATGCCCTTTATCAACCGATTAGTGCTCATATTAAAGTAATAAAACACGGACAAGATAGACACGGATGAAAGCCATATTTTAATCCACTAAACGCATCCGTGTCTACTTTGCGTCAGTTACAATGGAAGCAGTCGGACGATACAGAATATGGGAAGTAGATATCATTCGAGTCGAAAAAAGAAAAAAAAAAAAACGAAAGTAATACATCTTATAAGAACATGTTTTTTTTATTCTATAGTAAACCCAACACTATTTTGTAACCTTAATTTCTGGCATACGTTCGTCTCTACAGAGGGATATAATAAAGCTTCTTTACACATTTTCACTTCGCTCGAGCCAGTTGTAATAAAAATGTGATGTATGAGAATGAGTTCGCAATAAACTGAAACACAGGAAGAAGGAAAGATATTTGAAAAAAAAAACCAAATTTTTATCGCATCTATTATCTACCAATCGACATATATTTGTGATAGAGGGGTAAATATTTCAGAATACTTCCTTCCTCAAATCAAATTTTGAAAGCGTGTCCAAGTTGCTGAAGACGAATGCATCAGTTCCGTCATTTATATACTTTATCTGTAGATACATCTTACCAGATCAGGGCCGGATTGAGGGGGTGGCCACATGGGCCGCAACCCATGGTGGCAAATTTAGGGGCGGCAAATTTTGCAATTTTTTTAAATTTAGGTATAAAAAAATCGGATTCAGAAAACAAAATTATCAATGAGAAAAGGGGACAAATCTCTCTTTCCCGAGAGTATAGTAATTTCTAATTTTGTCGTTTTTCGGTGATACAAGAAACAGCATATTTAATTAGTCGAGCTAAGAGAGGAACTTAACACGCAATTTTTCCTGGAGCTCAGCGCAGAGAGGAATGATGACGAGGACTTGAAATTAAAAGGACAAGCCCTCGGCGCGGCGGTCGGCATGTAACACATGTTAGCGCCTACAAGACTGCATGAATACTTCATGCATTGCGTCAAACACAGTGTGGTCAGGAGCGGTTGGCGTGAAACGCATAGCGCCTACAAGACTGCAAGAATACTTCACGCATTGCGCCAAACACAGTGCAATCAGCGCGGCGCGGCGGTGGAAGTTAAATTTATTAAACCACATTCATGTTAGTTCTTTCATAATTTGTTTATTTATTATAAATGGAGGACCTTGTCCACGCAGAGATAGGTCTACGGAACTTAACTTTCGGGCAAAGTTCCGTGAAATTTTGCTAGTAGTGTTCACAGGGCTTTCGCAAAAAATGTATCCAACACGAGTAGGTAAACGAGTCTTATGCACCACTCCCCCTCCAGGCCCCCTCCGGCCCTGTTATTAGATATGTTATAACTGTATCTTATTGAACTTTATTGTGGTCAAAATACAAGAAGGCCGGAATAGCATAGAATAATCTTTATTTCGATTAAATTTCCCTGCGTGGAGTTGCAATGCTCCAGTGGATATTTTCAATATTAAGTTCGATGGGTCATTTATACTCACGTGAGAAAATCGCTCGAGATGGATAGGTCTAAACTGAAATGTTTTCATCCGTATTGGGCTGTTAAGTCGAAGGAGAAACATTTTCAGTAGCTTTTTATGTCTAAATCCTGTTTTCATCCAGTCGTGATTCCACAGGGCGAATCTAATATCCTCGCTCTGAAAAATTGCAGAGAACGAATTACAAAATTGCAGTGAGGTGATCGATAGTTTGTGAAGACCGTTTTACATTTCAAAGCCCTATGAGAGGAGATTAGTAGACCCTGAATGGTCAAAGGAAGGAAACGCCTCAAACATCAAGGAAAGTATAAAATTGATCCGATTCAGTACTTATATGAAATATTTAAGCAAGAGATGGCATCTTGATTATGAAACAGAGGCAACACGATTTCATAATTGTGGTGTTTCAAAAATTCACGTTCGTTCTTCATTTCTTTTAAGAGAGAATAGGTAACTTGAAATAATTTTACAAAAATTTAAAGAACTAGGAGGCTAGGTACGCTATGCCCCATGACTGCTTTGCGGTCAACCCCCTCCCCCGAACGCTATACACCTCAACCGTTATGCGTTACGTGTTATTTTTATAATTATCACTATAGGATATGCTATTCCAGAGAGAGTAAAAGAAAGGCAAAGAAAAAGCACAAGAAATTTTGAGTAACACCGATGACCAATCATACTTTAGAAATTTAAATACTGGCAGGAAATCTGCATCGTCGTGGAGTAAGATAAGGTACGTGGTTTTGTAGATTTCCCTGGTAAAAATTGGCGATAGGAGCTGCGTTTCAAAATACCATAGGAGTTCTTACAGCCGACTAAAGAAGGCTATTGAAAATCATATAGCTGGCAGTAGAAAGCGGAGCAAATCATATGGCCGGGCTATACGAGGCTATAAAAAAGTATACAGTCGGGCTATAGTTCCTATCGCCGGGCTTTACACTTTATCGCCATTGCCTATAAAAGGCTATAAGAAATTGTGTAGAAATGCGTGTGCTTTGGAAATCATTAAGTTTGATACGGAACTACCTTGATATTTACAAAACACACATTATATTTTACTTTAAAACATATTGTTTTTTCATCAATTAAAATGAGATGGTCCATACAGAGTGTGCAAACATTTCAAAATCATGAGTTGAAAAACGCTGACTCCGCGAGATTAAATATTAGAGCGTAACACAAAGCGGAGCGGCGACGCATTGGCGCCTACAAACCTAACAGGGATACTTCACGCATTGCGCGGCGACGCACTGGCGCCTACAAACCTAACAGGGATACTTCACGCATTGCGCGTTCCGCGCTCTCTGCCCGCCCGCCGCGCCGCCGCGTGCCACGGCGTCTGAAGCAACTATTTCACACCGGAGGTATTGCCCAGTATCATAAGAAATTGAAGGCGCTTTAACATAATAAGAATGACAGGCATCCTTCAAAAGTACGGAGCTTTCCTCGCAAAATAAATCAAGATACTACGGCACAAAAAGAGAGCGGTAGTCTAAAAACTAACTAAGTCCTAGTATCCGTATTTAGTAACGTTTAGCATAAACTTTATCGTCTGGCTGTTGCTTAATCACCATCGGCTATAAAAGGCTATAAGAAATTGTACAGCCGGCTTTAGGTCTATAGTATTTTGGAACACACATTCTACTGCCAATTTTTACCAGGGTTATTATAGATGTGCCTGTTTACAGATCAATTTAAACCCATCGTTTCACTTTTTACTTGTCTTCAAGCTTATTCTGAAAGTGTTTATGTTAAAAGGAATTGCTTATAAATGAATTAGACCAACACGAACTATGAAACGCGCAAATCTCATACGCATAGTTCTTTTTGATTCAATCCATGTTCGCATCATTGTTTTTAGTGTAAGTAAGTCAATTTTTAAAAGGTAATTCAAGCATTAATATGGTCCAAAATGTAGGTTAATTAATTTGTACGTAATTTTTACGTAATGGGGGAAAAATAATTGAGTCATAATAAACGTCTCCGGTAGAACTATATGAACAAAGAATCGCCTGTGAGCTATCACAGGCGCTTACGCTGGCACTAACCATCGTAGTGTTTCCTTAGGCAATAAGTTTACCTAAAATCTGGTCTAAATGATAATACCATACATTTAAGAATATTAACCTACTGATTCTTGTAGCAATGTTGCGGAGTAATAGAACGTGAACATCACCAACACAGCAGACATCACATACGATAAAAAAACGACACCTTGAGTGATTGCTTTCCCACTCTTGTCTGACTTGAGAAATTCCTAAAACAGAAGAAGCTCATTTAGTCAAACGAAATTCAGATTACTCGTGCATCTCGGCATAGTATGAACCAAACATCATATTATTAAGTTGACTCTTGTGAATGATTTTTTCACGTCAGAAATCGACAATTATAATTTACCAGTGAAATTTACCATCGGAAGTATTCCTATATACACTCCGTCATGAACCCTGAGATCTGTAACAATAACTCCAAGGAAGGGCTCATCTCTCAATGAATATTGTTCCCTGTGGTTTTAAGAACGTTCTGTTGATTATCCAAAAGGAATCCTAAGTTTTTAACTTGAGCTTCTGGTCGGTTGTTTCAGTGAATTTTATATGATAAAAGTGAGATACTTTCGAGATCAAACGGGGCGGAGTCACGGAAAAAAAGAGGTAGGGGTTAAGTCGCAACTTAAACTGAAAAAAGTCTGATCTCGTCAGGCGGACTCCCTTTTAATGCGTTTAGTTTGAAAGTACATCAAACCTAAACATGTTGCGTCTCTATATTTTTAGCAAATGTACACTGAAAAACTCACAGTGAGTGCAGCGAATGTCATCATTGTAATCGTTGTCATTCCACCCAGAACTGAGAAATTAGCCCATTGCATAAATATGGACTTAATATTATTCAAATGCCTGTAAACAATCAATGTGCATAGATAATAAGTTTGCTTGTTTTTCCTCTCTTTGAGACTTGGCTGCTATTGAACACAAATTTCTGCCAATTAATGTTCGCATTACCTATTAACTGGATTATAGGAACTAGGTCAATATTTTTTGAATATATAAAGATTTTGAGGTGGACTTCTTTTTGTTGGGAGCGGGGGAAGGACTCACAAAAGTATGTGCGTTTTACTTCAGTTATCATCTAAATCAGAGGAAAAATATCAGAGTTCTTGCGTCTATTTTTCAATTGGCTAAAAAACATTTATTTTTTAACCATGTACCTTTTCCCCTTAGTTATACGTATTTAGTTTCACTCCTCCCTAATTTCTTTTCAATATTCGTTTAATTTGCCTCTCTCTCATTTTTTTTAATGTTCAATTTACCAAGTTTTTTAGTGGCCAGTGGCCACACTCGTTAACATTTTCATACGGATCATTCAATACGAATGGGAGCACTACAGTGAATTGAAAACTTGAGAAGAAATGCCTAACACTAAATCCGCCACATTTCATCAAGAATAAATAACTTATATTCTATGAATTTCTCCCATTACCTCCAAAGAACGTTATAGTCATCGATGCCTTTCTTCAGCCTTCCCTCCTCTAGATTTTTAAGTCTGTCATCAAAAATATGATTCTGCATCAATAGTAAATTATAATTTATTCTCTCTGAAATAAAAAAGTACATGTTAAAGTGAATACTTATCTTTAAACTCGGCGTTGAAATCTTATATATTCCATAAAAGTGGAGAAAAATTGGAGTTACATTGTAGTTAAGACGTCGGGTTTAGCTTAATCGATAAATAAAGATTCAAGGTAAATATTACAATCCTCGTGAATGAGTATAAACGACTAAAATAATTTAATAATTGAAAATTCCAGAAACAGAGGGAGCTGATTATGCTAACATGGTTATTTGAGCTTAAGGTTTCGGTATAGTTTAGTAGGTACAGAATTTTTACTATGACAACGATTATACAAGCACAAAAAATTTGGTGTGGTTTTGTTTGTGATGCTTCATGTTTAAAATTAAGATTCTCTCACTTCCCTTTTTCAAGTAATAAATTCATTTTCAAAATTCATCACTCTCTTTCCCTTTTTTTCCCTCTTCGATTGAAATTAAGTGCGTGTCTTTTTTAATTAATAGTCCATCCCTTTGAACCGATAGTGAATCTATTTCTTCCGATACTTCATCATGTACTCAATTTTTTCTTTAAAAAATGTCTTTCTCCAAGAGCAGCATGAAAGGGATGAGTCAGTTTTGCGTGTTTTAGAATCGAGTTTTGATGATGACTCCTACAGTAAAAATTGACGAGTTCTTTTGATAACTACACATAGCTTTTAATCTGCTCAAAATAGTTACTATCTTTGCCTTACAATTAGCCTGAAAACCTTAATATACCTTAGACTTGTAATATACCTGATACACCTTATGTATACCTGAACACGCAATTTCCACTTGATATGCCGCAGGCGCACCTCTCATCAAATATTTCCCGAGAGTATTGAATCTCTCACTGGCAGTTATCATAAAGTGCATAAACATCAAGTCCGCACAAGAGCAAATGTGAATCGTGTGATAAATTAGTATAACTTCGTATACTGCAGCAAACCAGAATAATGGTCTTGAGGCGATCATGTCCCACGGGTACCTATGAATTACACATTCCTAGTCTTAATTTTTGGTTAGACCGTATCTTCGGCTAAAGTTACATTTTGGCTTCCACTGCTGTAACTTTTTAGGAGTAGAAAAAATGATATTACCCTCTGCCGTTTTTAGTGCTGCTTTTTACTGTTAAAGGCATGCTCGCACCATGTTGTGCCGGCAAGAAACACCGGAGCGCCTTCAAATACAGATGTATGCAATGGGGCCAGCCGCTGAGCACGAATAGTTGCTATCAAAATTTCGCACTTTTGGTATAAGCTCACATCGTGTCGCATTGCGACAATCAGCCGAAATAAAAGACTAGGATGGCTAGACTCATGCTATAGGTTTCCATCCTTTACACATGAAATGCAATTGTTTATTTTTTCCAGGTAATGACTGTCGAACAGCGATTGTGAAAACAACCGTAAATGGGCCGCTAGACTTGGTACACAATAAAGCAGTCCGCTACATGCTTTTACCACAAAATTTTTTGCGAGAAATGACTCAAGCCATGATAAGCTCGTAAACTAATTCTTGGAGAAGATATAAGACTGTATATTTAATATTAGTCTAATGCCAGAAATACATTTAAATGACTTCCTTAGCATGATTCATGTCCCATTTAATAAGGGTTCCTTAATTAAGGGGGAATGTGCTATCACAGGTTTAGTAATCCTGTGGACCCCAGCTCGGTAACTATCATGAGCATACCGACTCACTCGAAATGGTATTCTCTCTGGTGCATTGAATCAATTTAAAAAAAAAAAAAAAAAAAAAAAAAAAAAAAAAAAAAAAAATGCGATACGCACCGGTCTTTTTCTGCTCATTTTTATATATGTATTATCTTGTCTTAAATCAGTAATATGCAAATAATATGCATAAATATATCTGCATTGAGGCGAAGGAAAATAAAAATTGCATACAATTAAATGGAAAATACTGACCAGATAGGGCGAAGTACATAAGTGGAATTTTTTTTGGAATAGTAGAAACGGAGGAGTGGTGAGACTACGGCAGCCATAAGCCCTGTAACTTGAATCGAAATTATGTACACCAGAAGGACGATGTTGTGTGCAGAAGCATAAGCTTTGCCCGTGGTCCCATCCTCGAACTCTGCTGTACAGTGAAGCCGTAGATCCAGTCTCGTAAAAAGGCATTCCGCAATTTCCGCCTTTTTCACCACTAAGATTGTTCCTGAGCAGGAAAGAAATAATCTCATCAACATTTCACCAGGGGTGTAAAGCAAATCTATGCGTTCATTAAAACATGGATGCAATTTGTAGATAACAACGCATCTCCACCAATTAACTAGCGCTTAGATTGTCGAGACGTTATCCTTGATCGATAAATGGATTACATTTTGCAATAAGGAACCTTTATCTCTGGCTCCTCCATAAAATCGCGTATCTGCATAAGGTAAGCAATGTCATAAATGTTGTTTCTCAAATTAGCCAGAAATAGTGGTTTCTTATTGCTAAATGTAATCCAAATAACGTTGTAAAGATGATAATTCATCGATCAAGGTTGTTTGATGACGATTCAACAATCGACCTGGTCTAGTTTTTCTGCATTCAAACAAATGTTAGTTTTTCATCATGTTTTGATAGCTTTGCGATTATCTGAAAGTGCTTCATAGAGGCTCGCTTCAATTTTCATGGATAGAGCCAATTAATGGGCCTGTTGCAAACTTTTGCTGGACCAAAAATAAGAGTTGATTCTAATAGAAAATGTCACAAAAATTACGATAAGCGCATAGGCAAAGTCTGAAATGCTCTCCTAACTTCACAATTCGCGTAAGACATTTGCGGTTTTTTTTTTAGCTTCCCGCTTCAAAAACGGCACTACGGCGCAGGTGAACATTTCGCCAGAGGAGTCGTTTTCTGTAAGAAACAAGTCTTATTTTTCCTTTAGAAAAAGTTTGCAACAGGTCCCTTGTCATTCGGACACAGTCAATTTTCCAACATGATCAGAATGAGCCACACATTACTATGCTACACCACTCACTTGTTTTTAAAATCTTACAATTATACCTATTTGTGACAAACCTTTGACGATGATTGTGAGCGTAAGAACTGTGAACTGAAGGTGCATAATGAGTTCCCTGAGGACAATTTGGCCCTGAGCAATGTGGAAAACTATGGCAGCAAGGCATTGGAAGCAGAAGATAACCTCGAGAAAAAGGAAGACAAAGTGAGCAGTAACTATGAACTTGCTGAGCAGATCGTCCCTCGTGTAGACTATATTCAGACCATAGACCCTCAGGTGTAGGAGCATCAGCTTGTAACGCCAGTTGTCATCCAAATTTCTTCTCTTTCTCAAAGGAATTTCAGACTTTACAGTCCTGTACAAAAAGATACATACTTGTCCGTGGCGTGGAATGCTTTGCGATATATCGATTGATCTGTCATTTAAACTTATGGAGAAGGATCAATAAACAGGGTATTTGCAACAAACACCCTAATATATGATTCCTTATCGTAGCTTCAAATGGGTAAATATCGATAATCGATCATTCAAGCCTCGTAACTGCTTATTATACATACGGAAAATAGGGCTCACGACAGTGGCGTGGCGTGGCGTGAATTGCGATGTATCGATTTTTATGCCTAATAAACCTATGGAAAAGGATCGAAAAACTGGGTGTTCGCAGCAAACACTTTAATAATCGATTCTTTACCATAGGTTTAAATGGCATAACAATCGATATATCGCAATTCACGCCACGCTACTGGATCACGAGGAAATCGAGATACGCCCTTACGTCCGAGGAGCGACGTTTTGTTCTCATAAGTTAAAATTCGTGCTTGAAAATCTTCAATTGGAACCGTAACTAAGCTCTGTGAAACTAGAGCTCCAGCCGGGCGATTAAAATTTTTTTGGCATGAATTCTTGTGGAAAGACTTTACAAAGAATTTTACAAAAATAAAATGCACTCTTTACCTGAATTGTCGCCTAATTTTCTCTTGGACCAGTGACCACGCTGGAAGATGTAACTGCTCAGAGGAGGTACTGCTGCTCTGCATGAGGTAGATTTTAAGTTCAAAACCAAGTTTTTGGATGACTATGCACTTACTTATGTTTATTATGCAGATGCGTAAAATCTAAAATATCGAGGCACCTCACCTTTGCCAGGTATTTTTTTATTGATAAAAATCACCTCTCTTTGAACACGAGGGTGGCTTTCTGATAGGACTTATGTTAGCGGATAGATCCTTTCTTGTTTATGTACTGGTTTGAGCCAGACACGTCTAAAAATATCATGCCTCGGCTTTTCGGAGTAAACATTGCCAATTTCTTTCAAACATTTTTTTATCCCGTATCAACGAATCCCTGCATGATTGTTCCCGCGAAAATCTTGCAAGGCGTTGTGTCCACTAATTAGTAATTCGCCGTCCAAACTTCCACAACTCCAATACCAAAAACTTTTTGATGACGTTCTTTCACGAGGAAATTTAGTGGGCGGGGCAGGTCATTAAGATCTCGCCAGTGGCGAGGCGTGAATGATCGATTATCGATATATCCTGATTTGAAGCTATGGTAAAGAATCGATTATTAAGGTGTTCGTTGCGAACACCCTGTTTATCGATCCTTTTTCATAGGTTTAAATGGCAGATCAATCGATATATCGCAAAGCACGCCACGCCACTGGATCTCGCGACTCTAGTTGAGTCAAAATCCTTGATATCACGTGAGGCGGCCATTATGACGTGTGCACACGTTGTCTGTGGGCGTCTGGCTGTATTAACACCTACAACAGCACTATTTTAGGCATGAAGATATTCAGGTAAAATCAAGATCCCAAAGCCGACTGACCTACATTTGTTATTTGCCGTGCTATGGGAAAGAACTCCGTATAAAACTTCAGATGTTGTAAAATTTCTTTTGATCAAACACAAATTTCCAAGGAACTTGTTAACGTTTTTCTTCCAATCGTTCACAAAATTTTATCCTCAGTTTTGTCTGCAGTATTTGAAAATTGCACAGCAATTTGTAGACAAATGTGCTTTCAAAATAAATATTTTATCAATGGAAATTTGGCAATGTCCTCATATGCGTACAACGTTTTTCCTAAGCGCACATCAGCGATCAGACGTATTCAGTCAAAAGGCTCAAGATGGTGATCAGGGATGTCCTGCGGATTGATTGTTGGATTTTTATTGAATGACCTTAATTTGATAAGCCCCTATTCTGGCCATGCTATTCCTTGATCGATAGCAATTCAATAATCGACTCGTTGTTCCCGCTTCACGAAGAATAATCTCGTTTAGTAGAAAAAACCTAACAATATAATAGTTTCCCTTATTGAGTAATTGGTTGTTTGTAGCGACGTTAGCCATATACGGCCGTACTGAGGAAGAACGCCGTATGATCCTCCAGACGTTGTTGAGTTTCCTCCGATAAAAACCGAAATTACTGGGACATTTGTGAATATATTTTTCCAAAATTTTCAGACAATTTAGTATGCAATTTAATCTAAAATATCTGCATTTCAAGGAAAAATATTCATGAATTTTGTCAAAAATACATGTTTTATCGCGGGAAATTTGGCAACTCTCATGCGACGTTTTCCCTCAACACGACAGTATTATAGGTGACGGGTAAAATTATGTAACTGTATGTATGTTCATTCAGCTTGTACCGGATTGTCTCCTGATGAACCATTCATTGGACAAATTCGGAAAATCATCAAAAACTATAACTTTTACGTTGTTAATTACATTTTTAAAAGAAAAATTTATACTTTTACATTTTAAATTCAGACAACCTTTAAAAACTTATCTATGCAAACAATCCGAAAACATGCAATTTAGGACTCGTGAAATGTTCCAGTGAAAATCATATTACCAGTAATTGTTTTGCACTTTTTTCTCTGGTATGAGCAATGGATTTTTCAGCATTTTTGCTCCACCACCGTTTTTTCCATACTTTGACTAGGTGGATCGGCTGATGATCATCTTATATCTGATAGCGTAAGCGTGCTTAAAGTTTATGAGCTGTTGTATCAATAAATCATTATCTCAATGTAATAGGGAAGAAGGGAGGGAAAGGATGATAAAGGGAATCGGTTAGTTTTAGCGGACCTCTAAAATGGTGGGTCTCTTTAGGAGGTCATAGCGCCATCCGGCCACCATCGTTGTAGATCCTCGTGCGACGATATGATTGGATGTCTCACATTGTTTTTATATCAAACACAAATACATATATTGTACATTTTTATAAAATAACATATATTACATGTTTTAACTTGTTAAAATTATAGCTGGCCCGTTATTTTGCTGTTGCCAGCTGAAGAAGGAACAAGAAGTAAGAGAAGGACCGGTTCATAGTCTGAAATAAGTCGGAGAAGGAAAATCAAATTAGTCAACAACTCTTCATATTTGGAAAAATAAGCAGAAAATGTTTAACACTAAATGCAATTAAATGATTAAGCTAAGGTATCCTGAAATTTAAAAAATCAGTCACTAAATATTCATATTCAACGATCGTGATATCGTGAGTAGGTTTATACAATTTCAAGCTACATGTTATGTCTGCAACAGAGTGAATCTAACGCTGTTCGAGAGTACATACAATGATACGAATATATTTCATAATGAGGAATATTTCTCGCTTAGGTATCCATAAAAGCACCTATCTGCAAGGCAATGTAAACTAATGGTACATATGCTGTATCTAAAATCAGATAAAAATAGTCTCTCCTTGTCGCAAAATGTAGTCAAATTTTACACATGTTATTGATAGATCGATAGGTGAGAGAAAGTTTTGATGATCGAAAATTTAAGGATGAAATCAAACGGAAAGGTGTAGCCAGGAATGTATTGTCTCTTTTCGCGAAAAAATTGACAATGAAACACATATGCAACTTATCAGTGGTGATTGTACACATACTTTTCTCTTGCACAAGACATGTGGTATTCTCCAATTATTTTTACAATATATCGATGGCCAAAGTGCGGAACCACGTGTCTCAATTTGCGAAGTCGCAGACTTCCTGCCAGACTTTATTTTTTCTTTGAAAAACTAGTCTGCGTAATTTCTTGTAGACTATCTTGAGTTTTTTTCTTTGTTAGCAGAATATTTTGCGTAAATTTCAAGCTATGAGATTGGCTTGTTTCTCTTCTGAGAAAAAATAAAGTAGAGGGGAAAATTTTAAAAGCCTGCGATGAAGAAACGTGGTCTTGCACTTCAGTTAGCGATATGTTTCCGTTTATGTTTTCCGTTTAGGAAATGAGCTCTCCCTCTCCTCGCAAGAGGAGAGGCGCATCTGAAACAGAGATTTAATCACATCTAGTCATAATTTGATGAGTTCAAGAAAAATTTTGGAAAAATTAGTGAAATATGTATACGGTTTTACTGTTATACTTGTTTACAGCCTCTGAAGCCTCTGAAGCCTCTGAATTTTAAACGAAAAGTATACTCACATGTGAGAAAGTTTCAAGATCCACAGGCATGAAGGAAAATGCTTTCAATTTGAAAGAGGTACTCAGGGCCATACTGAAGTTTAGAGACAGTTTTTTAAATTTGAGCGATTCCATGTACCAACTATCTTCCCACAAACAGAGTCTTAAATTGTCATACTATAGAAGAATAAAAATAATGATTTTAAATATTGTTATAATTTTTCAAACGGATAGAACCATGCAAGACAGTCACATCGAAATTCTGTGCTTCAAAATCTCATCTCCTATTTTAATTTTTTGAAAACAGTTTAATCTACATTTTTGTTAAAAATTTTGCGGAACTTACTTTCAAATATTCAAGAACAATTTTTGTAATTTTGACGCTTCTCCTTGCCTTGTGAGGAGGTACAGTTTTATTTTGATACGATGCGCTATTTAAAATCTGAAATAATTTTGTGATTTTGGATTTCATGTTCGAAATATGCTTAGGTGGTTATTTTTTCTTTGGACAGCTATCAATATAAAAGCGTTTTAAAATGGTACAAGGAGGTGTGACAAGAACTTCATAAGGTTTAGGAAGGCCTCAGATAGTTTATTCTCAAACTTCTCAAGTAAAGCAAGATGATTTTAACTGTAGATGACCCTATCAGAAACTTCGAACGCTGTCATGAAAGGCCACGCGACATATCATTGAATAGGCCGAGAGAGACCTTCGAAAATTTCCAATAATACGGGCCCATGAGAATCGCTTTTATTGAAGTTTAAGAGACAATCGCTCGCTCACTCCGTGAGCCAGTTCGTTCCTGACACAAATATTTAATTCATTGGCGCATGTAAGAAAATACTCACAGTGTCTTGCAGCACCGTTGCATTGTAACTTATTGAGCCCAAGTGCCAACATGCTGCTAGAACGTATCCAATATACATGGCAGATTCACTTATTGCCTTTGCCACCGACTCGGAATGCCGCAATTCCTATTGATCAAATACAACTCTTACGAAGTCATGACGGATAAAGAGGAGGGATGTTGCAAAGCGCATACTTAGTGCGCTAATGAAATGCATTGATTCAATATTAAAAACGACTGAATGTACAGTGATCTCTCTCTAGAACGAGAACTCAAGGGATCGGCCGATGATGTCCTCGCTACATAAATATTCTTGGTGTAACGATAGACAGTCAGAAAAAGACGGGCAATCTCCGAGGCGAATCAAATTGAGGCATTTTTCGGTAAAAGGGCGTATGAGACTTCCGATGCTGCTAAGATTGTGCAACATGGTTCTATATGAATTCTTCCCTAAATTTGCTTCAAGTTTTTCCTCACTTTTTTAAGAAACTAAGTCGATTGTGAATGAATTTTATCTGCCGACAACGTTATAAAACATTGCACAATCACAGCAGCAATGCAAGCCTCATACGCTGTTTAACCGAAAAATGCCTCAATTGCTCAATAATTTAGGACATCATTCAGGGGTACAAAATCTCTACGATCCATCGCTCCTAGGATTGCAGGCTCGAGCTGTGCAGTGGTCAGAAATGGTGTACATCGCAGTACGTCTGGCAACGATTAAAGCGCGGACAGTAGTGAACGCGCAATGCGTGAAGTATTCTTCTAGTCTTGGAGGCGCTAACATAGTTGAGCGCGCACCGTGGTGTACGCGCAGGTATTCCTGCAGGCTTGGTGGCGCTAATAAGGCATGGAGGCGTCCAAATTAAAAGCGCTGTTATTCCATTCAACACTTTTTCAATTTTTTCTGAAAAAATCCTGTTTTACAAAAAACCTAACACATATTCATCCTTCATTTTTTCAACACAACATTAGGAACTAAAAATGAAAAAATGAATAGTCAGCAATTTTTTTCATTGATATCCTTTTTCTTTTACGATAACGTACTTGTGGACACTTCTTGAATACGTATTTTGGAGGAAAAATCAAGTGAAATATTAGCGAAAAGGCGGTATCCTCATGCTTCAAAGAGGAGAGGTAATTTTAATGTTGCTGTGGTTAGTGTGAATACTTACGTAAACTACTGCGTAGGCCATAACTGTATTCGCAACCATTCCTATTGAGAAACTTGCGGCGAAGTATGGTTTGAAAATCTCGGGAATAAGCTTAGCATGCCTGTTTTGAGAAACAAAAAAAAGCGCTCAAATTGGGAATTGACGGGTGGGCTTTGACATGTTGCTGTGGTGCTAACCCATTAAAATAATTGTATCTATTTTTGGAGCTGTTTGTGCGATTGTTTCAACGTTGTTTTCGAGATGGTGATTTCAACATTTACGTGGTGGCAATCAAGGTTATCCGCAAAAGTTAAGTGCGGGGCCCGGAATGGCAACTCTTAGAAAAGTTTCCAGTAACTTGCTAACAGACGTTTCCAATAAATGAAGGGATGACGGCCAAAGGACATTAATTGCAATGCAACATTGCAAAGTTTCATTCAAAAATATATTTATTTTACCCACCCTACGCTTATAAATTCCCTTTTGAATTTTTTTAATGGATTTCTTCTGCGGTTTGACGCAGAATTTTTAGAATTTTCCAATAAAATATTCCACCCCTAGCGTAAATATTACCTTGCGGTGAGCTAACCATCACCTTGCGGCAAGGTATCGGCCTATCCACCCTCACCGAGCCCTATCCGAGCCCTCGCCGGGTCAGTTCGTGGAACTTAACGACTGGGAATAATTATGCATGGCAACGCTGGAGACGAAAATCGTACCCAACACGGGGTATTTCCCGATGCAATGTCGCCTTTTTCAAGCCCTGCGTCTGAATTTGGGTCTACAGTGTTGTCATACGGTTTTAATCCCGGTCGTCGAGTTCCTTGAACTGGCTTGGCGAGGGCTCGGATAGGGCTCGGAGAGGATGGATAGGCCGATACCTTGCCGCAAGGTGATGGTTAGCTCACCGCAAGGTAATATTTACGCTAGGGAATAATTAAAAAAATTGGTGTCGAGTGATATTTTGAAATTTCGCATTGCAATTAAGCTCCTCTTCCTGTTACCCCTCAACTCTTCTTTTCGTTATTTTTTATTTAATAATTATCGTTTTATTTCCTCTTCCTGAATAGTTTAAGGTGATTGGTGATTCAATAGCCATCATATTTTGTGTCAGAACGACGTGCGCTATTTCACAACGATTGGTTCCATTTTTTCAGCTACTCGTCATTCTTCTCGAATTTTGAGACCGCAATTCTGTTGTCAGGAGACTAAAGAATTCACTTGCCAATCTTGACAAACATATTCAACGTAATAAAGGCGTGGCTTTTTTAGAGTAAAAATATCGCAAGCACCAACTAGTTGCTCGGGCTATCATGCTATTACCATGCTAGAAATACTCGAAACAATATGATAATTTTTTTATGTAGGTCATTAGCTGATAAAGTCCTTCCATTCCACCATCATAGATGACACTTTGAGTAATGAAATAACCAGGAGTACCCTTTCAGTTTTTGCCAGTCCTGCAGACCTCGTCTTAATTTTTCGTGCTGTAAGTCCTCAATATTATTAAACCTATCATCGGTCACGGAACTTAGGTCAAACGTCCATTCTGCTTGTTTTCCTGCGGAAAAAAGAAAATCTTTTTTAAGGGGAGAAAATTGTGTGAGCCAAAAATCCAAACTTTATTTTACTAATTTTTCTTCTCGGAACTTATTTAAAAAAAAAAAATTTAAAAAAAGAAAATTGTAAGGAGACAAAAATTGACCCATGACCTAGATTTTTGACTTTTTCGGGATCTCAGAAGTAAATAGGTATTATTGTTTCTCAGTTAGAGTATTTTTTGTTATGAGCTCGTGTGTTTAGACTTACATCCATCAAATACTTCGGCAAAATTTGCTAAGAATAACATGCATGACACACTTAAAATTGCTCTAACCACTGAATACAACCAAATCGAATACTACTTAATGACATCAATCTCAGCTCCATTAGTTCCACTGACTCCCCCTCTCCGAGGAGATGGGCACCTAGGGGGGCCCGCATCACAGACTGCGTCTACGGACCCAGAAATCCTAAGTACCTCTTCAGCCAAATACCTCTTTTGGTCTGCTGATATACACGCATGCACGTAATCATATTTGAGACCTCAGCTGGTTGATCTTCAAATGCTTATTATGTATGCAAAAATGATTTATTAAAAAAAAAGAAAAAAAGAAGATAAAACTCAAAAATGAACAATTGGACGTATTTCTATCAAACGGAACTAAGCGCCATAGGGAGAGGAAGGGAGAGGGGGGCTTGGATTGGCGGGTGTTGCGGAACGCGATGCTCGCTCCGTCCTAAACTCACAATGCGCTTCCATGGCGCTTAGTTCCGTTTGACAGAACGCGCTATCCGGGATTCTAAAATCCATAAAAGAAACTACATTTGGTGCTTAGTTCCGTTTAGCAGAAACACGTCCAATTAGTTTGTAATTATACAGCCATTTTACCTTCTTCGAACATGGCGGGTCCTCTCCAAGATGTCTGAGACGGAGATATTCTGCCTCCACCGTCATCGCGCAGAAACTGACCGAGCGCCTCAAACTTGACACGAGTGCTCATTATAATGTACAAATACAACACATCTATGGATGCATACAGAAAACAGGTGTACCAGATCATGACATACTCCCAGACAAAGGCACACCAGTGAACACATCTGGACGAAGTGACGTCAACCGGGTACCACAATGGTAACACAACGAACCATTTGTCGGCGGCCACATAAGACTTCACGAGCGGGGAGACGATCCCAGTGAATACACCCACACTGTAAATGCTACAAGTCATGAACACGAGGAATACATTGGTGGATCTGTCTTTGTACCACAGGAATTTATCCGCTCGGCCTGACAGGCAGTGAAGATCTCGGTCCAAGATATTACGTAGGCACGTAACGAATCTGAAAAGTGTCATCAGCACGATGAGTAAAAACAAGCAGTCAATATTCTTAAAATCCAGGGTTATCCAGGGTTAAACGGCCAGACTACAGGAGCGTGTTCTGTGGGTCAAAATAAGACTTTTGTTTTATAAAGTTGTTTCCAAAAATGCCCCAGTCGGAGCTGCGGCCCTACTAAAATTTCAGAAAGAAAATAGTTTTTGTGGATCTAATCTCATGAATATTTATAATCTCCTATACTTTTATGCCCTGAATTCATAAATTGTCTGAAAAAAAATCGACATCTTAATTTAAAGAGGGGGTTTGGGGGTGTTTCGGCTCCTGCAGTCTGGCCGCTTAGTCTTGAATCACCCTGTATGGTGATGTAAGTTTTTAAGATGGGTAATAAGGATTTACTATTCGTGTCTAATACTAAATGCGAATGGCAATCGTACTACAATTTATTTCTGAATTCTTTTTTCGTTGGTTCATGTTAATCACACCCATGTAGCACGATCCCAAGATTGATAGTGATAAATAAGCTATTTGTAGTCAAATTAACTGCGTCTATTTATTGCAACAAAACTTTTATTAAATACAAATTATAATTTACATGTGAATACAAATTTGCCAAAAATAGTCATGTTTGATTTTTGAATACGAAATAGCTATTAATCACTTTGAGATCGCTGTTTTTTAGAACTATTTTTGACTATTTTCATCACTCAATTTTAAAATTTTTATCAGCTATTTAATTGCCATTTATCTCTATCGAATTGTTATTTTTGGAAACTCTGCTACATGGGAGGTTTAAACACTATCCTTATTACATGCTAAAAATTTCATGCACGCTTCGACGTCCTCATTTGTGTGTTTCTGCCAGCGACATTTCCGCTTAGGAACCTTATTAGAGTCTGAACGGCTCCTGTTAATGTTCCTGTTAAGAGAAGTTAAAATCCTGTTAAAGAGCCCCACCGTCGATCTTCTCGTTTCTGTTGCGTCATCGACGATGACGTCACTGGTGCTCTAGACTTCCCATTCACTCTTAAGGCGCTCAACAAACGAGCACACTGCTTCTTTCCCACCAGTCTCTGGTTTCCATTAGCAAAAATACGTCCATTTAACAATAATGGAATAATAATAAAAGAGAAATTTTATTAATTTTATTGACCTAGATTGTTGTAGATGCATTGTTTGAAATGCGACCAAGTCAGCGCTGATGAGTGAGCAGAACAGCGAATAAAGAATTACTCTCTGGAACACCACTTCTTTTGAGTTCAATAAAGACAAGAGCACTCCCCAAATTTCTAGAGCCGCAAAAATTAAAATGGGCAAACACATCACTACGTGCACTTTACGAATGACCCTGCCGAGAAAATCATCCACGCCATCCACTTCCCTGATCCCTGTAACCCCTCTCAGGTGGAAATTAACGATTTTGTCCTGCCACGCACATTTCTTACGTGACATGTCCATTGAAAGCAATGATAGTATAACGAGCAGCTCTTATTTATTTTTTGGTCGTGAAGTTCTCCCCAGAACACTATTTAGATTAATCTTTAAGCATGTTTCATTCCAGTTTTGTTCCATAATACCGGCTGATCTGAAAAGTAAAAACGGTTAATTTTTTTTTAAAAAATTTGAAACTTTTATTGGAGCTCAGAGCATATAGGAAGCCAATAAAGTATTGTCATAAAGTAAGCTAAGGGGGAGAATCAAGCTGTGGCAAGTTGATACCAAGAAGAACGAGGTTGAAGTTTGATTATTTCTTTAAAGTTCAAAGATGAGAGTAAATTTTAATTCATTTATAATTTCTTAAGCTTTACGCTATTCCTGAATTTCGAGTTCTTGAAAGGAGAAGCTATGTGACTAAATGGGTTTATGACTATTGTTTCCAAAATTTGGTTCCTCTCTGTTAAACTTTGTCTAAATATTATGCAACTCAGTGCTTATGTTTTTCCTCCCAAGAAGTTGTCTCAATTATGACGATTTCGACCTTCCTTTTAATCTTGAACCAAACATAACTCGAATGTGGTTCTGTAGAAAAAACGAGAGGAAGAGAGAGGGAGAGGATGGGTAAAAAATGTAGTCTGGATAAACAGAAAAATATGGAGGAAAGGAAAAACGATAGCGAAAGGGGGGAAAAGAGAAAAAAGGTAGAAAAAGGGATTATCAGGAAGAGAAAGAAAGCAAAAATGGGAAGATTGACGACTCATTCATGAAACTCTCAACGCTCGGATAATCTGGAAGATTAACCAAGGATTTTGGTTAAAAAGATTACCAAAGTCGTCATAATATATTAGATATTTATTAAACAAAAATTATATTGTACGTATACGAGAATTCCTATGAATATAAAAATATTTGAAGCGCTCAAATGTTAAAATTCAAGTCTATGGATTGTAAGATACGTACCGTAACTTCACCAAACCATATTTTATCCTCTAAATGACTGACAAACTACCTCTTAAGCAATAAATCAAGACTGGTGACTGCAGTATGTATCCCATTATTGATTAGACAAATGATTATTACTCATTCTCATTCGGAAAATGTATGTATTTAAAGCTAGTTCCGCAATCATGTGAAATAAAGCCTCATTCATGGTAATTTTGAATCGTTGAGTGAGTAAAGGGCGTGCATATAGCTCTCACTATTTTGTGTGTAAAACACGCACGTCGAATAGTTAAACAGTTAGCTTCATGTATATTGCGTACCCTGCCGAAAACTCCTTATGAGATCATTTCCTTAAGCTTGAACCATCAATTATGGTATACCTTACGTCAAAGCCCAATTTTCCTGTCCGACCTAAAATAATTTTTTGTTTTAGTTTATGGGGTTTTATGGGGAACGGTTTGATTCATACAGTGTCTGGAGGTGGTTGCAGTATTTTAAGAGATGAAAAAACCAGAACCAGTGAGAGTTCAATAAAGCTATTTTGAAGAACTTCTGAGATGGGGCTGATGTGCTTTTATCTTGACTGCAGAACTTTCTGAAAAGAAAAGAATGGCTCAGTTTCAATCTTATTCGTTTAGAGATGAAGCTCCGATGGCAAACATGCTTGGTAAGTAACGTTTGTATATTTGTTTGTATATCTACATTCAGAAAGTGTTCTAACATTCGCTTACGACCGATGGGCACATGATTTTCAAATGTTTAGTGTCATTGACTTGGGCGGGGAAACCCATCCTTTATAAAATAAGATAACCCATCAACGGCTAGATTGACCCACGGCTCGCTAATAACACTTGCAGATTTTATTGGGCTGGTGCATACGAGGTTTAGATAGGGGTCTACAAATACGTCAAAATAAAAGAATCAAAAATCAAATAGAAGAAAAAAGGGGAATAATCGGATATCAACACAGCCAAAGATAGAAGAGACTCTGACCTCGTGTTTTATCTTTTCTAACGAATCTGAGCGACACCTCACTGGCAGCTGAGAGCGGAGCATCGCAAGTTCACACTTCGTGCCATCGCGCCTTCAATTTTGCTGATGCAATACGGACATGCATGAAGCATGAATAGTGGTATCGCTGCGCCGTCATCAACGCGCGTTGACGTGTTTCTAAGTTTTGATATTTGAGAAAATTTAAAGTTCAGTTAGCTCAAAATATGTCATAGACCAAATCAATAATTATTTTTTTTTAAAAAGAGAGAGAAAAACAATTAGAGATTCTCAATCGCTCTGGACGGGACACGTCTAAAAATTAGTAACTTGGCGAGGGTTGTTTCGTTTAAGGGAATTCGTTTTTTTGACGACTATCCCTAGAAAAATTGACCTGGCTATTTCTTTTGGGAGAGTTACACGCGGAGAATGAGCGGAAAAAGACAGGGAAGAGAGGTGAGAAATCGACAGTAGGTTACAAAAAAGGAGAAAATTTCAACAAAAAAAATTCACACCTTCAAAAACCTAGGAATAACATAGATAATACTGCAAAAACTATCAAAATCAATTTGTTTAAACACTGATGAATTTGACCCGACTTGGATATTTTCAGGGCCGGATGTACCCACTTGTCACCTATGGGCCGCATGTATTTTGCCGCCCCCTTCTCATTCGTTTTGAAACATCATTAAAAACCATCAAGTGAACGTGCCGGAGGGGGGGGGGGTGCATAAGACGCGTTTAATCTAGTTGGGCACATTTCTATTGAAAGTCGTGTCAACACTAGCAAAATTTCAATGAACTTTGCGCGAAGTTAAGTTCCGTAAACTTATCTCTATGTGAACAAGGCCTCCCATTTATGAGAAATGAAAGAAAAAATTATGAAAGAACAAACATAAATGTGATTTAAAAGTTTTAATTTCCACCGCCGCGCCGCGCTGACCGCACTGTGTTTGGCACAATGCGTGAAGTATTCATGCAGTCTTGTAGGTGCTATGCGTTTCTTGCCGACGGCTGCTGACCGCACTGTGTTTGACGCAATGCGTGAAGTATTCATGCAGTCATGTAGGCGCTAATGTGTTACATGCCGACCGCCGCACGGTGGAGCGAAGCATAGGAATGCCCGGTCATCGCCTTGCTCCCCAACTTGTTTCGACTATTCCACTCGTTCCAATGGGCATTTCGTGATGAAACTTGGGCATCCTATGGTATTTTGATCGTAGATTTCATTTTTGACCTTACTTCACCCGATTTATTGACGGAAATACATCATTTTGGGGGTCCTTTCTAACTTTCAGTAGAATCGTGAAAAGATAAGTTACTCAAACATAAATTTTACGCGTTCCTGTGGGCATTTCGTGTTGAAACTTCGCAGGCTTGTGGTATTTTGATCGTAGAATTCATATCTGACCTTACTTTTCTTGATATGTTAACGCAAACGCGCGATTTTTGGGGGTTTTCAAACTTTCGGCGGAAACATAAAAAGATAAGTTGCTTAAAGATAAATTTTACTCATTCTTGTCGGAATTTCGTATTGAAACTTGGTGCAAGTGTGGTATTTTGAACGTAGAATTCATTTTTGACATTAGAATTGTTTTTATATGTTAATTTAATTACACTACTTTGGTTTTTTTTAACTTCTGGTAGAAATGTGAAAAGAAAAGTTGTTCGAAGATAGAATTAACTCGTTCTGGTAAAAAATACGTGTTTAATCGTTGATGCACGATTATACTTTCATCATAGAACCAATTTTTGAGCTTAATTTTTTTATTTTTTTCACATGCATACATGCTTCTGAAGGATTTTATTCCAAAATCAATCGGAATGCACACACAAATTTACGCAGAGATTTTATCTGTTCCGATTGACATTTCATGTTGCAACTATTGATTTCCTGTGATATTTTCATTGAGAAATAAAAATTTGATGTGACTTATATTTTAATTGCTCGATCGAAAGACAAAAGGAAGCAATTTTTATCGATACTATGTGATTTCTCCAATGTAATGAATGATCATATTTCTATATCTATTATGAAAAAATATGGTACCTATTACCATTCCAATTTTATATGATTCCAAGAGATAAAATTAGAGATTTAAAATATTAATAGAAAGATATCAATGTACGAGGGTTTTTTTTTTTTTTTTTTTTTTTTTTTTTTTTTTTTTTTTTTTTTTTTAAATGCTTTCATCAAGATCGACACCGCTATCTTCATGAAGATCTGAAATCAAAAGCTCGCGGTGGATGGCCTGAGAATCCAGAACTTTTGATTTCTTCTTTTTTGAGGAATTATATCTAAACAAACAGAAAACACGGAACACGGAATAACACGAAACACGGAAAATTAAACGATCAACACTGTCAACGAGATTAAATTGCACGGTAAATCGGTCCATCTCATATCACGTATCACGATATCTCAGAATCAGGTGGGACACTTCCAACGCTTTGTATAGGATTTTATCTATACCACGCCTGAAGCGTCAAGCGCTTCGGGAGGTCGGGCTGCGAAGTGGTCAGGGGGTGTAACCCCTACTATGATGAATGATTCATTCAAAGGTATCGATAGAACATTCAACATTTTTATTCTTTCCTTAAAATGCCAAACAATCATACAAGATAAAAACAAAAACAGCTCTGTTTCCCTGCCTCGATTGCGAGTTCGCAAACCTATCAAATGATGAATTTTGGCCAAAAAATGGGCAAAAGTAAGGGCAAAATTGAATTCTACGATGAAAATACCGTGAGTTCATCAAGTTTTAAAATGAAAATCCTACTGAGTGTATTAAGACGCCAAGATAATCCAGCAAGATGTAGAGAAACAGCGAAATCCGTTCTCACTTTTTCGGACAAAAATCGATGTAACTCCCAAAGTGGCAGCTGGTGGCAGCCAAATACGACGGATTCCTCATCCTGAGGGATCACTGGAACACGCCTTATGCATGATTGGACGGCGAAATGCGGCGAAATTTTTAAAAGTCTATTCAAACTTTTATTTTCTTATTTTCGGAAGGGTCATCTTTGATCAGACATTACAACGTATAGAATTGAGTAAACTTAACTTTTTAATAGTGAAAAATGTTCCTCATACGCACTAGAATAAGATCCAAGCATTCATATGTGTGTCAATTATTGCCACTCGAAGAGGCAGGTATGGAAACCGACCTCAGAAAACAGAGCGAAATCGGCCATTTCAGAAAATGTCAACTTCAGGAGTCCAGGGGGCAAAAGCATTTGAAAAAATCATCAAACCAACACTAGATCCATATAATATGGATCCTTGGGAATACATTCCATCACATCTTTATGCAAAACATGAGAACACCCCATGTCCGAGGTTTTACCCATTTCGTCCCACTGTGCGCCGCGCCGCGCCGCGTCAAGGGCTGCTCCTTTTCATCTCATCAAGTCCTCGTCATTGCTCTCTGCGCCGCGCCGCTTCAGGTCAAACTCCGTGTTTGGTTTCTCTCTTAACTCGACTAATTAAAGGTTCTGTCTCTTGTATTACCGAAAGACGACAAAATTAGAAATTACTATACTCTCGGGATATGAGAGATTTTGTCCCCTTTTCTCGTTTTCTGAATCAGATTTTTTTATATACCTGTATTTTGAAAAATTGCAAAATTTGCCGCCCCCTAAATTTTCCGCCATGGGCCGCAGTCCATGTGGTCACTCCCTAAATCTGGCCCTGGATCTTTTTGTGGTAAAAAAAATATATATGGGCTAACAGGTAGAAAAAAGAGTAAAAATGCAGAGAATGTAACATTAATTATTGTGAGTCTTTAATATTCGAAAAGAGGGCAGTTTGTATTGAAAATCTCTGTAACAACTTATTTGTAATGAACAAAGAAGTTCAGCGGGTCGGTGCGTCTTATTTAATTTCATTTCCCTGAAGACCTGTAGAAATTGAAATCAACTTGGATGAAGAGTTCGAAGATGCCCAGTTGAAAAGCGAATTCAAAACTTTTTCTGTAAAGTCTGACTTTTTGTACCATCATCCGGTGCGTCGGTTGAGACTCGGAGTGACTGGTTGATGAGACGTACAATTAAACAGGTAATTTATGCCGTGGAATTACGCCTTAGTTGTTTCCCCGACACCTGGTACAGGAATGCGATGACAGACCACACATTGTAGAAATTCTGAAATATACCATTCCTTAATAACAAAACATTTAAAGATATTAGTGAAACGGTCTGGTAAGAGATCTTGTTAAGTATAACGCTTATCGGTTAATTGATTATGTAGCGTTAACATGTCCCTAAAATGTAACGTATGGCAACTGAACAATGCTCGAGGATAATTTTTTCGTCTTCACTTATCTGGTGAGCTTTCATGTCATTTTTCAACTGAGACCTATTTTTCTCGAAATAAAAAAAAGTATATTTTAATTAACAGGCCAATGCACTTAAAAATGTGTTTTAGAGACAAGTCATGGTGAGGTACGTTGAATTCTTTTTATAGTGAGTATATTGAATGCAATATAGTTTTCACTTACTCTTGTAAACGAGTGCAAATTAATCTGATAGAACTTGTAGGCTTTCAACGGCATGCGATAACACAGGAGAGTTTCGCAGTTGAGAAAATTTTGTTTGAATTCTCTACCTCCTAACGTCCAATCACTTTCCCACAAGGAGTAGCGGAGGCGATCATGCTGAGAAACAGGTATAAAACATTACATGATAGTTTATGCGCCTTTTTCTATATTATTATTCGTTGAAATTTGCAAAACATTAATTGAAAATGCATTTTGAGTAGAAATTAACTATAAATTAAAATTTAAAAAATTGATTTTTCTCACTCTCTCCCTCCTCCCTCCCTCCATCTCAAAACTCGCAAGGTAAAGGAAGGTTTTCTTAAGAACGCTATTTCATTTTTTTCAATGCAAGCTCTCATCGAATCAGAAACATGTCAGTGAAAAGAAGAAAAGGGAATAATTATTTCCGTCATCTGTTATGAAGCAGCTTAACTTACCGCCTCTTGAAGACGATTTGCACAGTAGCTTAAAGCTAACCATGATCCAAAACTGGTGCCGCAGTATGACATGTTGTTCAGCGCGTTCATGGTAACTTTGCCGTTACTACGTATCTCCTGAGAAGCGGATTAAATGAAAAACGAAGGATTGAAGAAATAAATAAATCAATAGCTATTCAAAATATAATCGATGTCAAAAACTGTAAGAAAAGGCTTGAAAAAGGATCAAACCGAGTTTATTTTAAGCTCTCACAAATTAAATAGTACATTGGTTTTTTGCCGGTTATACAAGCTTCTCATTCAAAGTTTCACATCATAACCTTGTTCTATTTTTCCTTACCGTAGACATCCATAATATTGGTAAAATATGGGCATAAAGTATTTTTGGGCGTAGAAAGAAGGGAAAAGAAAATAAAAACCCTTGTGTTTATTAATTAAGACCATACACCTCAATCTGAAAGTGTAGGAAGTATATTGGGATTATCAAACATTCACTCTCACTTTTTGGGAAGTACAGACTGTCTAGGGTAATAGCAGCTATTTTAGATTCTACTCGGTCATCGCCTTGTGCAGCGACAGCAGGCGGCCAAAAGCGACTTTATCAGCTTCCAAGAAGCTTACTTTGCCTACCTATTTTTCTGAAGGCAGACTGGCCCTGGTGAAAGTTGGCGATAGGAGCTGCGTTTCAAAATACCATAGGAGTTCTTATAGCCGACTGAAGAGGGCGATAGAAAATCATATAGCTGGTTAAAGAAAGCGGAGCGAAGCGATAAAAAATTATACAGCCGGGCTATAGGGGAGACCGGGGCTATGTTGACCAGATTTTTTTAAAACTTGTGTCTGAAGAAACAGAAGAATAGAATGTCATTTCTTTAATGCTCTAATCCTTAAGCATACAGTGTAAAATTAAAATCAACTGAAAACACTGTACAAAATACTTTAATTTTGTGAGTTGCATGCGTTTTTAAAAGAAAATCCATTTTGGTCAACATAGCCCCCGCTTGGGGCTGTATTGGCCACCCCCGGGGCCAAGTTAGCCACCTGTAAGGAAGCTGTGTTAACCTTGTTCAGTTGATTGTAATTGCACTTAAAAAGCTTAGTATTATGCCCCTACACTTATCTTTCGTAATGTTTGTGAAACTCAATACCTTTGGAGCTGAAAATTTAAAAATAAAAAAAATTTTTTTAAAGAACAGTATCAAATTTAATAAGTGAGTTGGCGTGAAAAGCAACTTAAAAAATAATGAGAAGATCTACTTCCCCACTATATAGGACCGTTTTAAACTCAAAGAAAATGGATTTGAAACCTTACGCAAAAAAAATATAAAATGTATGTTTTCTTAGTAGGTCAACATAGCCCCAGAAACATGGTCCACATAGCCCCGATTGAGGTCACCTCAAATCAAAGTCATCCAACTGAGAAACAAGGAGTCAAAAGCCATAAATCCATACACTAAAATCAAAGGAAAGGGGTCTACTTCAAATAGAAACAAAGATTAATAATATACAAAATAAATACTCGCCACAGCAAACAAAATCCAAAATTAAAAAAATCGCATTTTCGGGCTATTTTCGAAGGTAAACAAGAATGTTACAGCACAGAACATAACAGAGGGGGACACCATCGATGTTGATATTTTGAATTGTTAGTCTACATCGCTGCCAACCTTTTTTCTCATCAAAACATCAAATTTACGTTTTCCTCTACAAAATTCTCACGATGGTTATCATAGCCCCGTGGCCAACATAACCCCGGTCTCCCCTAGTTCCTTTCGCCGGGCTTTACACTTTATCGCCTGGCTGTTGCTTTTTCGCCATCGGCTATGAAAGGCTATAAGAAATTGTGCAGACATTCTTGTGCTTTGTAAATCCTTAAGTTTGTACGGAATCACCTTAATATTTACAAAACGCTTATTATATTTTCCTTTACTACATATTTTTTTTCATCAATTAAAATGAAAATAATCCATACAGAGTGTGCAAACATTCAAAGTCATGAGTTGAAAAACGTTGACTCCGCGATATTAAATATTAGAGCCTAACACAAAGCGGAGCGGCGGCGCACTGACGCCTACAAACCTAACAGGGATACTTCACGCATTGCGCAATGCGTGAAGTATCCCTGTTAGGTTCGAAGGCGCCAATACGCGTTCAGCGCTGGCTGCCCGCCCGCCGCGCCCGCGCCGCAGCGTACCGCTGCGCTTGAAGCAACTTTTTCACACCAGAGGTATTGCACAGTATCATACGAAATTGAAGGCGCTCCAACATATTAGGAATTGCAGGCATCCTTCAAAAGTACGGAGCTTTCCTCGCAAATTAAATCAAGATACTTCGGCCCTAAAAGAGAGCGGTAGTCCAAAAACTCACTAAGTCCTGGCATCCGTAATTAGTAAGGTTTAGCATACACTTTATCGCCAGGCTGTTGATTAATCACCATCGGCTATAAAAGGCAATAAGAAATTGTGTTGCAGTCTATAGAAGCTATTGGAAATCTTACAGCCAGCTGTAGGTCTATGGTATTTTGGAACACAGATTCTACTGCCAATTTTTACCAGGGGGCTTAAGTATCGTATTTTATGCGATAAAATCATCACTTGTTGCCGTGTTGCAGGTGGGGTTGCGCAATTAGCGAACTGTTAAAGCTTTTTTACTGGTTGTTAAAGATGAAATAGCAATTATTTCATTGGTATTGTCGGATTGAAATACATTGTGTTTACTTAATGCTCAATCATTCTTAAACTATTTTCTTACCATGAAAAAAATCTATTGAGGCATGAGGTCAATTCAGTACTTACGTTAATGGCTCCAAAAGTCATGATTGTGGCTGATGCAGTTGTGACAAAATGTAACGCCGTTATGTACGGCAAGAATGCACGATTAAATAATTTTTTCTGCCTGAAAAAGAGAGTTACAATTAGACACTTCAATTGTGGATCGGGTTTAGAGACAAAACTGGACTGTGCACAACCTTTCTAGTATGAAATCATCTCAGTGACTATTTTATACTTTTAAAACATTCTATGGTCAATACAAAATCCACTTCATGTTATGTATTATGGAACCAGTCTGAATGAACAGCTTTGAATCCTCTTTTTTCTGAAAGGCACCTGGACATCTTTCAAATTTTTGTAAGTGTTTTAATTTGATCAAAACAGCGTTTGATATACAGTTTCTCGAGGATTCTATCATCAGAAGGAGAGATTCTTCATTTTTTCGGTTCCATTTTCCTTAAAAATTAAGCTCTTCAGCTATAAATTTTGTATATGTATAATCGTTGGTGTCTTTTTTATTTGAAGTCAAATTCATGCTAATATTCTCATATTTTTTTCCATAGAACGACACTATTACTCATTCGTAATGCTAAATTTTTGAAGATGCTATCTCTTTTGACGATTTAAGATTCACGTAGGGGTATTATTTTGAGAAATCGTAAATACATAGGCTGTCCAAAAAGTACCGAGACTGGTTCCATAACTCAAAAACCATGATAGCTAGAGGCTTGATCTTGGTTTTATTTGAAAGACCAACTCAATATCTATCGATTAAGACCAAGATCAAAACTTTTGGTCAAATATTTCAAAAGTTACAACACAGTCTGTAAACAAAATATCTGGACCCCCTACCGTTTTTTATGACTATTTTATCTTGCCGGGAACACTCTCTAAATTATTAGTGATCAGTGCACGGTTCTTTTGCAACTAATCATGGCAAAACCTAATCAATTTGGGGACACTGTCAAGCCGTCGTCGTCCGACTACAGGCGTACGAGTTCAAAATCCACGGGGAAAGAATGAACCGTCAGTCAGCCACCCTCAAAAAACCCGGGAAATTTTCGGCAGTTGTTGACAGTTCACAGTGCGTGCGTGGTCTACGCTGCAGATAGTGAGTGATTTTGTTTCTGTGTTCGAAATTTTTGATACCACTATTTTATCTCTTCCCATGATGGTATCAAAAATCACAGAAACAAAATCACTCACTATCTGCAGCGTAGACCACGCACGCACTGTGAACTGTCAACAACTGCTGAAAATTTCCCGGGTTTTTTGAGGGTGGCTGACCGACGGTTCATTCTTTCCCCGTGGATTTTGAACTCGTACGCCTGTAGTCGGACGACGACGGCTTGACAGTGTCCCCAAATTGATTAGGTTTTGCCATGATTAGTTGCAAAAGAACCGTGCACTGATCATTAATAATTTAGAGAGTGTTCCCGGCAAGATAAAATAGTCATAAAAAACGGTAGGGGGTCCAGATATTTTGTTTACAGACTGTGTTGTAACTTTTGAAATATTTGACCAAAAGTTTTGATCTTGGTCTTAATCGATAGATATTGAGTTGATCTTTCAAATGAAACCAAGATCAAGCCTCTAGCTATCATGGTTTTTGAGTTATGGAACCAGTCTCGGTACTTTTTGGACAGCCTATGTATGAGAACTCTGAGAAAATCTTCGGTCATTTAAAAACCTGCAAATTGTACTTTTAAATTGTATTAATTTTTGTTTTTAAAATAAGTATCAGACATTCTGCTGAGGTGATTAGGAGTTGAATAACAAACCATATTTAATCAGTTTCATCTACCTACGAAGAATTATCAAGTCCAAAATACAATCCCTCAATCGTTCAGAATCTTTCATTAGATTAATGTCATAGGTTTTGCATTTTCCTTCTAAAGATTAAATACAAAGAAAATATTTGATTAATGACAGTCACCTGAACCACAAAAAGAATTACATTTTTTGTATAAATTGATAAAATCGTGTTTTATATACTTCTCATTTCCATTTTCATATTTATTTTTTTTGCACGAAAGTACTGATGTTGCTAAAATTGCTCTTAGACTATTTACCGCATGATTTATTGTGGCAACAAGATGCGTATTTAACAAATCTAGACAAGTATGACAAAACACAAAAGGAAGATATCAGTATTTTGTTAAATGAAGATATTACTGAAGAAAATTTTGCCAAAAGTATATTTTGAAAAGGACGAATTTTGAAGGCAGCTGTCCGAATAGCCTCTTCTTGTTTCAGGCATTGATTGTTTCCAAAACAGGACTATATGCTATATTTTGATAATTTGGATGACACTTCCGGGAAGAAAATTCAAAAGAGCTGAATAATATCTCGGCAAGAGCACACATCAATAAATGCTTAAGTTAAGGTTAAGGTGATTCCTCCCAGAAAGTAAATAAACATCAATAGTTTTGCTTTTCACTATTTGAAGAAACAGAGATGCAACAGCGTACAAGCGTACTTCAGCAGTCTACTGGTGAAAATTCTCTTCCGGGAACCTTAAATTAAAGCCCATCGAGACTTAACGGGAAAATTCCAATTCAACTTGACTTATCGAATGCGATATTTCGCTCTTAGTCTCATTTAGCTTTAGTTTAGTGTTATCGGAGGAAATTTTTCACAAATACACTGCTGAAGTGTGCTTCTATACTGTCGCATCTCTGTTTTTACAGAGAGTAAAAAAAAAAACTCGTATTTTAGCGAATTTTACTCGATTTATCGATGTTTGTTTACTTTCCGAGAGGAATCGCCTCGGACGTACCGGAAAACCTTATGAACACGACTTTTGGAAGATAAATGGGACTTCATTTTGCAATTTAGAACCATAAATTCTGTCTCTTCTGGAAAAATACGTACCTATGTGCGTAGGGAAACTAATGGCACATACGTTGTTTTTAAACCGGGCTAGAATTTATAGTTCCAAATTGCAAACTGTAGTCCAATGTGCGATACCTGTTTTGAGAGAACACTTCCATTCATTAGGATTGGAGCAATCTGACTGGACTGCAACGTTGACGATGTGGTCACTCAAGACGTGGAATCTTGTCTTAGCCGTCGCGATGGCGTAGAAGTAAAGAGTTCCGGAATGCAGGAAGTGAACACCCGTGTACCAAAGGACGATCGATTCGTACACGTAGGCGAGCCAGAATCGCACTGGGCTGGCGAGCATGTCCCACGGATACCATATGGGCATCACAATGAAGGAGTCATGGGTTTCGAAGACGAATCGCACCAATGGAGATACAACGGTCGATAAGAAGCAAGCAGTGAACAGAGCTACCAGTATGAACAGAATGGAAAAGTGGAATATGTCATAGTGGTTTTGCCACTCGAGCGCCTGTTCGACCCACGAGCAACAGTGCAATTTCCTCCATAGGCTCCTCATACATGCGCATGCGCAGCTCTTTTTGTAAGCGAAACAATGAGTCTGAAACAATTGGACGTATTTCTGGCAAATGGAACTTGGTGCATTGTGAAGTGAGCCCTGTAATGCATATATTCTTATGAGTCTCAGGGCTCATATTTTGATGCTCATAGTTCCGTTTGGCAGAAATACGTCCAATTAAGGACATATCGACGGTGAAACCTCCAAACCACGTATCCCGTTTGCGATGTTTTAAAATCTTCACTCCCATTTTATTTTTGTCGGAGAACAAGTCTGTATTATTCCTTGAAGTTTTTACAGAATTTTCTTCACAAAAATAAGAAAAATCATGGACATTTTAAATAATTGACTTTGAGCAGCAGTTTTCCATTTAAAAATAAAGTATGAGAAGAAGTCTGCAACGTCGCAAACCGAGATACGTGTTTTTGGAGTTCCGCCGTCAATACGGCATTGGAGCAAATCGCAAATTGAAGTGGTACATCAGGAAGACGGATGTTCGAGCGGTTATTACCGATTTGATTTTGATGAATATCCGTGATTTTAAAAATGGAAAAATTGGTCTTATCAATATGTGCACCAATTTGTAGTTTTTGTTCATAGGCTCTTCTCTTTGCTATGCGTAATAAATTTGAAAACATCTCCCTGGACCAGAAGAGCTGGACCACAGCTGAGGAAAATTCTTCCATTTTTGAATTATATTCCCTGTACCTTCTAAGAAATTTAAGTCATTATGTGTAAGAAACGGTAGCCTTGCAGAAAAATAGTTTGAATGGATGAATGGATGACAGCGAAAAATACGTCATTTTTTTTTTTTTAATGTTCTGCAGTATCTTTTTGGAGGAGGAGTTTGGCAATCTCCACCCCTTCGGAACAGAAAGAAAAGTACGCTTTTTGCCTCATTTATATTCCGTGGGGATTTCAAAAAGTCTGAATTTTAGCTTTCGCCACCCCGATGCAAGTGAAACTTCCCCTCCCTTGTCATGGTTGCAGCGAGAGAAATCATGTACGGAAGGAGGTTTGGGAGACTCCCGCGGTAAATTTTCAACAACTGATTTCCGTTACAAGCAATTTTGACCTCTTTTTCGACCAATCTCATCGACGTAGATATTACTTCAACTATGAAAAATTACAAGAGCTCTTTTTCCCCTCCGAAATTTGCCGCCCATCAGGTAACTGCCTAGGTTGCCTATCCCGTATATCCGAGCATGGATTATATTACATTACCGGGCATTATAGTGACAAATTCTGAAAACTAGGATGTGGATAGATATTTTGACCCGATAAGGGTTTGAAAGAGGTGGAACTAATAATTTCGTGATTTCGACGTAGCAACAGAGGCGGATCCAGCAATTTAGCAACATTGGCTTTCCTCCATTTAAACCTGTGATGAACAATCGATTTTTGTCGATGATCTTGCCCCACCGAGAATCAATATATTTTCAAAGGTTTAAATGGAGAAAACGATGTTGCCAAATTCCAAGAGTCTGGCATTGAAGATAATCTATGCGCTACCACTCCGAGGATGGAGCCGACGATAATGCCGTGAGTGAAGGCAACGACGATATTAACAGAGGCAGACCCACCAATTTGGCAAAATTGGCTTTTCTCCATTTAAACCTGTGGTGAACAATCGATATTTGTAGAGCACCTGGCCTGGCCCCACCGAGAATCGATATGTTTCCTATAGGTTTAAATGGAGAAAAACGACGTTGCTGAATTGCAAGAGTCTGGCTTTAAAGATACTCTATGCGCTACCACTCCGAGGATGGTGCCGACGATAATGCCGTGAGTTAAGGGAACGACGATTGTAACAGAGGCGGATCCATTAATTTGACAACATTGGCTTTCCTCCATTTAAACCTGTGGTGAACAATCGCGTTTTGTCTGAGCAGCTGACCCCTCCGAGAATCGATATATTCCCATAGGTTTAAATTGTGAAGAACAATGTTGCCAAATTGCAAGGGTCTGGCATTAAAGATACTCTATGCGCTACCACTCCGAGGATGGAGCCGACGATAATGCCGTGAGTGAAGGGGACGACGATATCGTGGACGCTTCTCTGTGCGCTGAGGTGGAGAACACCGCAGTACATCCCCTGGCACGCCAAGATGGAGACGGGGAGGATCATGAGGAAATGGAATCTCGTGATATGTTCGTGGTAGGGAGCATCCTCGGCCAGCCCGGCCGTTATCAACGAGTACTCGATCACTTTCCGAACCCATTGCTCTGTGATGAAGGCTGGACATCGCGACCATGCTCCCAGTCGCATCGTCTTCAACTTTTGCGCCTCAACTGCAACGAGAAAGCTTTCATAAAATCACAAATAGATCGTATTCGATACACCGAACGGGTGAGATTGTATCGATATCGATTGGTTCAAAACATGAACATAGCCTCAAAAGTCAATTGCGTAATCTGACGGAATTGGTTTTTTGTGATGGAGTTTCGACTCGTATGAGTACTAATTGGACGCATTTCTATCAAACGGAACTAAGCGCCATAGGGGGCGGAAGGTAAAGAGGGGCTTGGATTGGCGGCGGGACTAGGCGTCGGGCTCATTCCGTCTTATACTCGCAATGCTTTTCCATGGCGCTTGGTTCCGTTTGACAGAACGCGCTATCCGGCATTCGAAATTCCTCAAAAGGAACTCAAAATGACGCTTAGTTCCGTTTGACAGAAATACGTCCAATTGGTCACGAGTAGTGAAATTGCTAAGAAACTCATTGTCAGTTTTTCTGACAAATATCCTAACATTTTGGTTTGAAGTTATGCTCTACTGTTTTGAACCAAACGATACATCGAACCACTATCGAATACGATCTATAGGTAGCATCGCACGGTGGGTCGAGTCAATAGGAGAGGTCGGACATGATTTAAAAACTATAAAAGCGCACTATCTGCATGAATATGAAATGTTAACGTTTTAAAAGTAGTTTCATTGGTTTTCTTGTAAAATTTTCTATAAGAAGCACCCCCAAAAATTAAAATTGTAACGAAATAAATGTAAAATTTTAAATTTTTTGTGAAAAATTTCAAGTCCGACTTCTTTCCAAGACTCGTTCCACTGTGCGCCGTTGCCAATGTAAATTATCAACCACGCAATCAAACGTGGTAAGAAGGAAGAAGGAAAGGAAGGAGGAGAATACAAGAGGAGTAAGAAAAAGAGGAAGTAGAATAGGAAGAAGGGGAAATAGAAGAGTAGAGAACATTAAATTCATTTATTGATTACTTGAAAAACCTTTCTGAAAAATGTTTTAAAATGTAAGTGAAAATATTTATTAAATATTTTTTTGTCAAAAATACCTGTAGAAAATGAGTTACAAAAATATTTATAAAATATTTGTAATCCTTTTTTTAGAAGAACCGAATAAAAAATAAATGTTTCTACCGTAAAGTTTTTCAGTACCAAAAATGCCCCAGTCGAAGTCTGAAATTTCCTAAACACATTTTTAAATTATTTTCTAAAAACTGTTTTCTTAAAAATTGAAGTGAAATATAATTTTGAAACAAACCTGTTTTTCGGTGTGCAATCAGGATAACGCCACTTTTCTCGCGGAGGGTCAGGAAGGAGTCACTGATCTGAGGTTTACCTCAGGCGCATCATTCAATTCTTTTACGTATCTAATTAACCAACTAACTAAAAACACAGGCTCCTTGCCTTACGATAACACCAAATGTGTGATTTAGGTGAGTTATCCGTGTAGTGTATGAGTATGGGTATTCACTTAATTTTTGAAAATCACAGATTTAAAAATGACTTCATTAAGGAACCTCTACTTATTTATGACACGAGAATCTCCAAATAATTATACAATTCCCTAATGAACAGACGGAGGGAGCACCACCTACACTTACAGGCCTTTCGTTTTGACAATTTTTAAATGATAGAGTAAATTCGTTATGTGGGAATAAATTCTTTTCGTAAAAGTGTCCGCGATAAAAGCACAGGTAAGAACCATTTCTCTCGATACATATAGAGGTCGAGAATAATACATGCATTAGCTAAGGAGGGGGTATGTCAATCCAAGGCTTTTCAATCCAGTCCATCGAATGTGGGTGATCCTTTTGTACACTCAAGAGATCTGCAAATACAGTATGATTTAACCGCCCTACAATAGCGTTCCATTCCGTTATCATCTTGTGGTAACGACATTTATCAACAACAGAGATGCATAGTTTTGAACATAAGTTCTCAAAAAATGATTCCAAAATATAAACCTTTTCATTCCCGAGGTATCTTGTATAAAAAATACTTTTAAACGGTACCTATATCACCCTGTCGAAGAGAGCCAGGTCGATTACATCGGCATTTCTCCATCTTACCTACATATACACTTTCTCATGAATTACATACTTTTACTTATCAATCAAATCTTTCGTTTAAGGCAGCGTTCTCAAATGATAAAATTTGCGGCTGTGTCATCGGCAAAATGTAAGAGATTAATATTCGCAAGATTCACGCGGAAATGTTAACGGAAGAAAGTATGTGGAAAATGTTATGCACCTCATCTGATCGAAATATTATTATGTGAACTCATGAAAAAGTTTAGTGTTAATTTTTAGTGTTTTACTTTTTTCTTTTTCTTTCTCGCTCATAAAAAAGCTGATATCCTAGAGCCTATGATTACAGCCCAACATGTTTTTGCTGACGCATGTCTGAATTTTTACATCAGTGATGGTAAAATTGCGTAAAAAAACTCAAACGGAATCTCTTTACAGGGATTTAAGAAAATCCTTGAACCGTTTTTTATTAACAATTAGATTTATCTGCGTTGCGCATTTTGATGAATCTTATTTTCTCTGTTTGCGAGGGTGTAACAGTATACCTGCATTTTGTGTATACTTTGAGTCTGGGCCCTTGGTACTTCTGATACACCCCGTATTTGCCACGTAAACAGTTGGAAACGCCAAAACGCGGGAAGGAAAACATTTCGTAAATCCATAGTGCATCGGCTAATTAGACAGTGTTAAATTCCACGCCCTAGTCAATTAACAGAAGTTCCGTGACAACGGTGACAACGAAGACAACGGCC